AATAAAAGGCTAATATGCAAATTGACCAAATGGCAGAATGACCGGTCACTATGACACACACTGACCACCAGGGGGCAGATGCTCAGTGCAGGAGCTGCCCCTGGTGGTCAGTGCGCTGCCACAGGTGAAGCGCTGCTCAGCTAGAAGCCGGGCTCATGGCTGGCGAGCACAGCAGTGGTGGCGGGAGCCTCTCCCTCCTCTGTGGCAGCGCTAAGGATGTCTGACTGCTGGCCGTCGGCCATCCCCTGAGGGCTCCCAGCAAGAGGGCACAGGCCTCTGAGTGCACAGATTTCATGCACTGGGCTTCTAGTGATAATATATTATGATACACACAGTCTGTCTGAAATTACTAGATCTAGTTTGATGAGATCTTGCTGGGATTCTTCTTTTAATAGATTTTACTTTTTGAATTTCTGATAGGGAAATGCTAAGTTTCTTAATTTTATTTCTAAACCAGAAGTGAAGGTTGGGGGAAACCTGAATTTCTAAGCTGTTAATGTGGATGCATAATCTAAATGATTTTGAAAATAGGTATTGTATAGTAGCATTAGAACTATAGCAAATGAAATCACTTTTAAAAGAAAAACAGCAATCTTTAGGTGGGGTTGTGATAAAAACTTAAAATACTGTGAATACCAATGCAGTATTTTTGTAACAATTTGCCATTGGGCAAACTAAAATTTTGTAAACTTGAATTTTATTTTATTTTAGGGAAATTACATTTTTTTGTTAATGATGAAATCTTCTAAAAGAAGTTTCAATGATTTTTTTTCCCACTAATGCCCAGAAACCTAGACTTTAAAAATAGGAGTACTTGCTGGATAAATTATTATTTGTTGCTATCTTTCTCATAGAGTAGAAAATTAACAGTCTGCTGATGTATTTGAAACAAGCTTTCTAGAACTATGTAGTAGATGTATGATTCTAACATTTCAGTAATACTTTCCAAAATAGTATAACTTTTTTCCTTAATTTTAACTATAGACCCACAAGATGAAAATAAAATTGGAATTGATGGGATTCAACAGTTTTGTGATGATTTAAGCCTAGATCCTGCCAGTATCAGCGTTTTGGTTATAGCATGGAAATTCAGGGCAGCAACTCAATGTGAATTTAGCAAAAAGGAATTTGTAGATGGCATGACTGAGCTTGGGTAAGTAAATTGATCTCAGTTTAAATTTTTCATAAAGGAAGATACTTTCAACATTAATTCTTTTTCAGTCTGTAAATATTAATTTCATATTAATTTATTTTATTTGTGTATCTTATAAATTTCTTATGCAGCTACACTATATTAAGCCTTTGGTCTCCCTTTACTAGTAAATTCCAATTTAAGTTTTATTTCATAATCTTTTCTCAGATTAATTCCTTTTGTAATTTATTTTCTACTTTTTAATTTTTCCCCCCAGTTTTAAATTGACAGCATCAGGGTGTTTTTGTTTGTTTGTTTTCAGCTCTTCAGCTTATTTCATAATACTGTGTACTAAATGTATAGTTTAGTGTGTTGCTATATTAAGCATTAATAAAATGTTGTTTTGATTTTTGCTTGTAATATTTCTCTGTTCTACCTACAAGGTTGGGATTAAAGCTTCATTAATAGCTTAAGATGTTTCTCACTTGTCAGATAAGTCCAAGAAGTAAATGAAAGCACATAACAAATGTCTTTTACTCATTAAACTTATTGAACTATTTCATGAGGTCGTGTAAAAGCCAACTTGCTTGACTTGCTGATATTCTGGTATTTCACTGTTGACAATTTAAACTAGCCTTTTTTAGCTGCTCAAGGAGCTTGAAAGCCTAAAGTAAACATGTTCTTAAGGCATGTGCTTCAGCATTCCAGGCCAGATGGGGGAATAGAGCATTCGGTTTTTTTCCCATTAAACTGATGAAACTGTGATGTTTGTCAGCCTTGTCTGTTTAAATGATAAACTCTACAAAACTTTGATTTGTAGTGTTATCTTACCATAACCTGGTGGTTTTGTAAAACCAAAAAAAAACAAAAGAGAACATTGTGACAATGGTGTAATAGTGTATTTTTTCATGTTCTTTGCACTAGGAAAGCCTGGATGAATTACTAGTACTTTTAGAATGGAAAACAAACTATTAAAGAAGTATTCCATGAGCATGATACTATACACTATCCTATCTGTTAAAAATCTCCCCAAAATGAGAGATTTGGAAATAAGTGCTTCTTATAGAAACACTTACTGGCATTTCTAAGGCACTGTCTAGAAATATATTATACAAGTAAATGTTTTAAATTCTTGCCTGTTATCCTGTTAAGTGTCATAACTTTAAAAACATACTTTAAAGATTTTGAGTGTGAATCTTTGCAAAATGTGTTAGATATTTCATGCCCTCTTATATGGAGTATACAGAGTGTAATTTAAGATTACCAGTTAATGATAGTTAATGGTACTGCTGTCCACATTTCACAGGGAAGTTAAAGGTAAAAGCATTTTGTAAATATTAAAGTGCTATGTACCAAGCAAAAGTATCATTCATGTGTTCAAAAAGTGAATTATAAAAACAATCTCATTGCTTTTAGGGATGCAGAGGACTGTTGGCTTCTAGTCTAAATAGCACTAAGCTTTAAAGTATACTTTGGCTTTTGTGTCTGCTCTGTTTTGTTGGGGGTTTTTTCACACGTTTTCCTGGCTGTTGACTGTTGACTGTGGCTAGAGTACCTGCCTTTAACAGTTCATCTTACATACTTTAATTGGGGGCTTGAGGATTCTTAAGTAGGCTGAGTAAACTTTATGAAATACCATGACATCTTTGTAAAATCAAAAAAATTGACTGTGTTGCTCTATTTCTGGGTTCTCTATTGTATTCCATGGTCTGTTTGTCCTTCACCCAACACCACACAGTTTTGGTTTACCTCAAGCTTGAGTTTAACCAGACTACAGGGCATAAGGTCAGCAAACAAAAATTGATATTATTTCAAAACACTGAATGTAATAATGAAACAAAATAAAATGAATTTTTTAAAATATCATTTTATTGATATTATTTCAAAACACTGAATGTAATAATGAAAATAAAATGAATTTTTTAAAAATATCATTTCCAGTAGCATCAAAAATACAAAACACCTAGGGTAAATCTAATTTAATATGTGTGCTGCCTCCATAGAGAAAACTCACTGAGAGATAGGAAACCTGAATAAATGGAGAAATATACCTCATTTATAGGTTGTAACACTTTCTGTTTGATCCCTAAATTTATCTATACATTTTATATGATCTCTAATAAGTAGTAGGTTTATGTGTGTAATTTGACAAGCGATTTTAAATGTATATGAATATGCACGGTCAAGAGTAGCCAACAATTCTTAAAGAAAAAAAGAACAAGGTGAGAAGATTTGCTCTACCAGCTAGTCAGGACTTCAAACTATAATAACTAAGACTATATTGAGTACCATAATAGATAAATATACCAGTGGAACAGAATGGAGGGCCCAGAAACAAATCCATGTATACAGGTACATTGGATTATGGCAAAGGCAGCACTTTAGGAAAGTGGAGAAAGAACATCTTTTCAGTAAATGGTCTTGGGAGAATTGGCATATGGGAAAAAATTCATCTGATCCCTACCTCACACCACACATAAAATTTTAATGGAATGTTATATGACAATGGAAATGAACGAACAATCCAAGTGGATTGTAGATCTCCATTTGAAAGGCTAACGGCAGAATCCTCTAGAAAATAATGTAGGAGAATATCTTTATGATTATTCAGTTGGGGAAGTTTTAAAATATCACCAAGAAAACACTATAAAGAAAATGGATAAAGTGTACTATACTAAAAATAACAGCTCATCAAGACACATCATCAAGGAAGTGGAAAGGCAGCCCATATTTTGAAGTACTTTGAAAATACTTAACTGACAAAGGCTTGTATCTCTGATATATAAAAATCTCCTATAAAACAATAAGAAAAGGATAACCTAATTGAAAATGGGCAACAGACTTGAACAGGCACTTCACAAAAGGGAATTTCCAAATGATCAGTGAAAAATACAAGAATGTGCTCAATCTCATTCATTGGGGAAGTGCAAATTAAAACTTCAATGAAATAGAACCTCACAACCCACTCTTTAGAGTGGCTAAAATAAGACAGTCATAAATATTAGTGAAAATGTGAGGCAACAGGAACTCTAGTGTGCTGCTGGTGGAGTGTGAAATGGGATGATCACGTTGGAAAACTGTTTGACATTACTTATTAAACTGAAGGTGCACAGACCCTGTGAACCCAGCTGTTCTACTCTTGGGTGTGTCTAGCATAACACATGCATATGTGTGCCAGGACACATGCACAGAACATTTTAAACATGCTTTGTAACCAGAAAACTAGAAGCAGCCAAAATATTTATCATCAGTAGAATATATAAATTATAAAATAGGAATTTAATGGAATGCTATATGACAATGGAAATGAACCAACCCCAGCCACACTGTCAGCATAAATGAGCCTCACAAACATAATGTTGGCACAGAAAACCAAAGACAAAATAATACTTACCATGAGTTCCCATTTAAAAAGTTCAGAAGCAGGGATAACTAACACACTGCCAAGGAGTGCTTGTTGGAGTGATGGAGGCATAAAGAAGAGCGAGGAAGTGGCCACGTGGAGGAAAGGGGTTGTAATGGGAAAGGGCACACAGCCACACCCCAGGTGCTGCTGCCTGCTGGTACTCCATTGGCTGGGGGCGGGGCTGGGGGCTGTCCGCAGCACCCATGACAGCCCTTGAAGCTGTGCATTTGTGCCTTTGAGTGTATTTATTCATGGACTTGCTGGTCTGGATAGTTCCGGCCTCTCCAGGACTTGCTCAATTGTCTTTCCTCAGCCCCGCTCTACTTGGGTGTGTGGATAAATGAAGTGTTGCTTTTGTTCTCTTCCTTGCTGTGCAGTCAAGATAAAAACGACAAATTTTATGTTTTGCTATTCTAGATTCTGCTTTAAAGGCTTTTTAATAGCTTAAAGGTTATTGACTTTGGAAGGCAAATTCAATTTTAAAACAATAGAGTTGTGTTTCGTTATACTTGGATATTTTAAATCTAACCCACTGTAGTGAAGAAACCCCTCGATACAGTAGCTAAAGTGCCACAGGTTTATTTTCCTTATGTAGGGACAGTATAGTGGTAACAGTGGTATGGGCTGGGGGAAAGTGGGGTTTGTCACTCTGTCATCTCAGGGCATTGGCCTCTGTGATTGAAGCTGCAGAGTTAAACCATGTTCCTGTTCCAGTTTACACAGAGGAGGGCAAGCAATTTTGTATTTTTTCTTTTAATGACAGCTTTATTAAGACATCATTCACATGCCGTACAATTCACCCATTTACAGTGGTTTTGGTGTATTCAAAGCGCTGTGCAGTCATCACCACAATGAGTTTTAGAGCATTTCAAGGCTTTTTAAGGCTTTTTGGCTAGAGAAAGAGGCCCATGAGAATTAGCCCTCCCTTCCCCGCTTTGACCCAAGCCTCAGGCTGCACCACATCACAGTGAGGCTGAGAACTGCTGGGGATTGGGGAGACCTGTCTCCTCCCCTTAACAAAGCGCTCTCGCTCTCTTTCTTCTCTCTCTCTCTCTCTCTCTCTCTCTCTCTCTCTCTCTCTCTCTCTCTCTCTCTCTCATCACAGGTGTGACAGCACAGAAAAGCTGAAAGCTCTCCTACCAAGATTGGAGCAAGAGCTTAAGGACACAGTGAAGTTTAAGGATTTCTATCAGTTTACTTTTACCTTTGCTAAGAACCCTGGGCAAAAAGGTTTAGGTGAGTATAAAATCCAAATTAGTAAAAAGCCACATCTTGAGACTACGTGAACATGATCAACAAGATTTCAGTCCTGCCTGCTGTCATGTTGTTATCCCTCTTTGCATTTTTTCCCCTTTGCATTGCTTTGTTCCATGTGCAGCTAGACCAGTTTGTAGTACCATATACTTGAATACCTCAACCAATATTACTCTCAAATTCTGGGTTTAAATTTTAAAATGTAAATGAATTTGCAAATGCTCTGTGTTCTCTCATATTGATATCTAATCGACTAATGAGTTAGAGAGGTCAGTGATTAATGTCGACAATGGGCACGTTTGTACTGGCCAGGTGTGTGATCCCGCCTGTGGTGTTTCTAAGATGGCCAGGTAACATCAGTCTTGTCCTGGTCTGGAGATTTAAACTAACTTACTTGAAACCAATTGTGATGTGCATTGGATTGCTTTAGTACAGGCCCACCTCGTTTTGTTGTACTTTACAGATACTGTATTTTTAGTAACATTGAGGCAGGACCCTCCACCAGCAAAATGATTATGACTTTCTGAAGGCTCAGATGTTGATTAGCATTTTGTAGCAATAAAGTATTTTTAAACTAAGGTGTGTACATTGTTTTGAGGAAGCATAATGCTATTGCACACTTAATAAACTATAGTATACTGTAAACGTAAATTTCATATGCACTAGAAAACCAAAATATTTGTGTTACTCGCTTTATTGTGATATTGGCTATATTGTGGGGATCTGGAACCGAACCTGCAAAATCTTCCAGAGGTGTATGATTTTGTTATAACTTGTGTTATTACTGTGTATGGTACATTCGGAAATTTTTTAACCTGAAATTTTAGTTTAATTTTTTGTTTATTTGAAGGTTTTATTCTGCTTATTTTCTTTCTTTCTTTTTTTTCTTTGTTTGTTAATCCTTACCTGAGGATATGTGTCCCATTGATTTGTAGAGAGAGTGAAAGGGAGGGGGAGAGATCGAGAGAGAGAAACATTGATGTGAGAGAGACAGGGGCCAGGGATAGAACCTGCAACCAAGGTATGTGGCCTTGACCGGAATCA